AGGCTGTCGCGTGGTGACAGTAGAAGGGGTTTCACAGTGACTTTGCTAAACTAGCTCAGTTTAGGGTAGGGAGAATGAAATTCTAGAGTTTTACTAGTGTGCCTCTCGGTCATGGACAGTCCAAACCCCAAAACACAGCAGGGCTTCCACAGGGGGCCACTGGAAGCTGAAAGCCATTTTGAAACGTGTATCTCGGTGTATATGCAGGCTCCGTCTGATGCCCAGTAATTTCTCTTTCCTCTCAATGGGCACATCACTTTAAGGATACTTGAAATCACCACCAAAGAGGAACACTTTTAAGTTAGGCTACTTTACTTTGTACTTAAATGGTGTAGGAGCTTTGCAGAGTTCAGCTGAGGATGAATGAATCTGAGCAATTCCTGAAGCTGTCTGCAAACGTATGTTTGAAGATGTCCTAGGTCTGCACCTTCCCAGATGCAAAGAAAACTACTCACTGTGCTTTCAACTTACATTTTAGCCAGAGATCAATGTAAAAACTAAAAAAACCCCACAGGCTGAGGTAGTTTTAGACTTCAGAAATCTAAGGGCAGAAGGGATCAGCTAATATAATTGCTTGTATGGTGTTGTTTTACTAAGTAGTTTTTGTTTGTAACCAAAGCAACTGGTATTTGCCTCTGGAAAGACATTCTGTCTCACTTGACCTGATGACATTAAGAGAAAGGAAATTCATGGCTTCTTCCAGTGTCTAATTTCAATCCTTTCCTTCTCATTTCAAACAGCTTGGACCCACTATCTAGCTCTTGGCATTTAAGGCTCTAATTTATTGCATTAAAAGTCTTTTTGAACCCATGACTTTCTCATCTGGTAAGTGAGCAATATAACATATGTATATTATAACATATGCAGTATAACTAATCAAATCACCCTCAATCATATTCTTGTTTAACTAAATTAAGCTTCAAGTCTCTTGCTGTGAGGTGTATGTTCATATTTGAATGTTTTCTGCACCAGCTTCGTGTTTTGTTTTGTTGGGTTTTTTTTTTAACCTTCTTAAAATGCAGTGTAATGAATTGCACTTGCTGGAAACAATAATGAAGTGCTAATGTTGTATAGGGAGCTAAAAATGTGTTACAGACAGGGATGAACTGTCTGCGTAGCCGAAATTTCCCTCATGATGTCTGTGTGCATCCCCTAATCCTGCTGGCTGAGGGCTGGGCTGAGTTTTTATTCTTCTGTTTTATTTTTTAATTGGGATAGAGACTGAAGCATTTATTTATTTGGAGAGGAAAACTCTGTAGAGAGCTACATGATACTTGCTAGTGGGAGACAAAGGAAGATGTAAGTTGATTTGGACAATCTGAAAGCTCGATCTTGCCTCCTGGCCAGAGGGCTCTGACAAAAGACCTGGTACGTGTTGCCAAGAGCTTAGGAGAGGGTTTGAACCGTGAGTCCTCCCAGCTGACCTGGTCGAACAAGGAGCAGCTTCCCCCTGCGACAGGTGTGAGTGACTGACATGCAAAGAGAGGGGAAAATGAACCCTTCTTTCTATTATTCTTCAACTGCATATCAAACGAGAGTCCCCCTGTTAGTGTGCTGCTCCTCTCTCCTCTTACAGGGCAGCGCGCTGTCAGATCAGATAGACTGTTTGTATTACTTTGGAATGGAAGAGAATAAAGGCAGTTTATATAAAGAAGGACTTGAAAAGGCTTCACTGGTTTTTCATCAGAGCTGCTGGAAACCTTCCTTTCCCCCCACTGCCCTTTCCCCAGTCCCACCCCCGAAACCCTCACCTCTTCCTGCCTTTGTCAGGCAAGTGTCAGATTTGACACCTTTGCAGTAAGGTACAGAAATGCAAATGGGGAAATCCAGCAACACCTAATCAGAGGATGTAAACTTTCTGTGAACCTAATTTGTGGATTTAGAGGGGGGGAGAAAAAAGGCAAAAAAGCCATATTGCTAACACATTTCTAAAATGCTGTTGATGCTTTTTAAAAAAACTCCTAATAGCACTGCTTTGACCTGGCTTTTGCTTTTCAGTTAATGTAGGACTGAGAAATACACAGTTATCCCTCTGCTGTGGCTCTCCACCAGCCCACTGTGTGGGCCCACCAGCTAGCGAGGGTCACCCCAGGTGTGGGGACCGCAACAGCATGAGCAGCAACATACGCAGGAATGGGAAAGGGAGCAGGTAAATGGGGAAGGTCAGGTCCAGCTCCGATTCTCCAGGGCCACTACAGGAAAAGTTAAGCAATGTCTGCAGTGCTGCTTAGCAGAGATGACTTTGCTGCTAGATCCACCCCCCCATCCACTGCTGA